AATCCGAGCTGGCCGCTTCCGATACTGCCTCTCGCTCCCCACAAGCTCGTTAATAAAGCATCTGTTGGTCTGAGGGGCCCAGACCAAGTTGACCGTCTTTGGCTGGCCTCAGTTACATTAGTCCATAGGGTGCAAATAAGGGGAGGGAGGGAGAAGAGCATTGTTGCTGGAAATCTGTCAACGCCGCAGCGTGCTGGTTTCGAAAAGGAGAGGGACGATTGCGTCCCACTCCCCCCTGATTCAAGCTCGTTAATAAAGCATCTGTTGGTCTGAGGGGCCCAGACCAAGTTGACCGTCTTTGGCTGGCCTCAGTTACATTAGTCCATAGGGTGCAAATAAGGGGAGGGAGGGAGAAGAGCATTGTTGCTGGAAATCTGTCAACGCCGCAGCGTGCTGGTTTCGAAAAGGAGAGGGACGATTGCGTCCCACTCCCCCCTGATTTATAGTCCTCTGAGGTTCGCTGTGATCTCAGAGCAGAATTAAGAGCCCCAGCCACTGGTTTCTGATGGGAGCTCAGAGTTTAAGGCACCCCTCTCCCATGCTCCCCAGAGCTGGGGGACTTATTTCCACGCTGCTGTCACAAGGCACTTCTTGGCTTTTGCATAGCTGCCGCCCTTTCCTTGTAATGGCCAAGAAAGCGACAAAGGCTACGACCAGTCATGGACTGGGTCTCGCAAAGGGGCCTGTTAGCTCTGAGCGTAGGGTGCGGAGCGGATTCCCCCCAGGCTTTGGTCCATAGCGAAGAGAAAAGCAGAGGGTGTTGGGTTTAGAACTGAACCCAGCCCGTGCTCTGCTGATTCTGGGCAGCTGCCGACCTGGAAGAAAACAAAACCCTGCATTGAGATGTTGAGGGTGGTTTGGCCTAGAGCGGAGAGCTGCCTTTTGAAGGGCTGGTTGAGCAGACCAGCCCCATGGGCCTTGGCCAAACTGCCATATATTCTAAAGACCAAAACCAAGCCCCCCTCCTAGGGGCTGTCCTCACTGCAGTTACCTCGGGCTCTTACTAAGGTGCTGCCACAACCTCCCACCCACCTACAAAGCCTGCTCACCCATTTTTGTTGGGGCTTTAAATCTGGGCTAGCTGGCGAGGCTGTGGGTGAGAATTGGAGCGTAGGTGCTGCGTCCTCTAGGGCTGAGGATCCCCCCCACTCCGCAGTAAGGATGCAGGCTAACTCCTCCAGTGCCACCGCAAGAGTCTCCTGGGACAACCGGACAGACAAGGTCTCCCACAATTCCCCGGGAAGGAATCTCAGAGACGCTCAGCAAAAGACGATGGCACCTGACCCCAGAAGCTTTAGCAACACCCACAAGGGAACACAGAGGAACTTGACTGTGGCCACTCACACCTGGGCTATGCTAACCCAGTTGCCTGTCACCCAGGCTAACTGCAGTGAAGACAATCCCTTAGCTCACACTCGGGCATCCTCTCCAGTGCTGCAAAAGGTGTGGTAGCTAGAGACAAGGCACTTATGCTTTCCAGAGGAAGCTAGGCACAGTCAGCTCTCCTCCACACCTGGTGTTAACTAGAGATGTCAACATGTACGCCACTACACGATTAACCGATAAGCCTTGGGGAAGGCGGAGCAGTATCTGTCTGCGGGGAGTCAGACCCCCTGTGGACAGGGCTGCTACAACCCTGCGCTGCTGCCTCTGTATCAGAGGCAGCTGCACGGGGTGGCTGGCAGCTGGTCTGCACGGGGAGCTGGTTTTTAAACAGGCTCCCCTCATGGGCTGGCTCCCACCTGCCACCCTGCAGGAGCGGTAGGGGTCTCCCCGAGAGTGGGGCTAGAAGCATATTGGCTGCTGGCCCCACCCCAGGGACTATCGAATAGTCGTGCAAATGATAAGATTTCATGCTGTTGCACAACAATCCAGTTACACTACATGTGACATCACCTACTTTACCTTGCAGTACCTACAGTGCCATGTCTCCTGTTCTCCCAGCAGGATGGCTGTGCGGGGCAAACACACCTTTTCTTGTTAGCGAACACAAGCCTGTGGGTAAGATGTTCCGGGTGCCTGCTCAAGCTGTTAATGGCTTGCTAATAGTGACAGCTCAACAGGGATGTTAAGGGACAATACAGAACACCTGCAAATACAGGGTACTCAGTCCAGTTTCTAATGGACGAGTCCTCAAAAGATCCAGGCCACCCGCCTCATCCTGGAAGGATGCTCGTCTAATCTCAAGCATCTGAAAGGGTGTGTCATGATCATGAGGGTCAGCCAGCAGCCTGGGGACTAAGGGGTTAACTATACCTAAATCAGGTAGAGTTAGCCAATAGGAATGTAGGTAGGAATCTCAAAGTAGGGCAAAGGAATTTTTGGGTTTCTCGCCTTGGTCCTGGGAGTTCCATCCAGCTACTGAGGGAGACAGACATGTGTCTCACTCCAAGAAACAATTCTTCACTTTTTGTAAGTAGGGTAAAGTTTAGATAAATCCGTTAGGTTTTGTTATTTTATAGTTTGGGTATGGGATCTGATGTTTTGGCTTTCCTTTGTGACTAAGTTCTCGGCCCATGGAGTTTCTCCCTGAGTATATTATTTTGTTACTTTTCCATCTAGTTATTATGCTTGCAACAGGAATATTGTGGTGAAAATAAAAGTTCTCTCTTTTCTTTTTATTAACCTGGTATTGGTTAATTTGTGTGTCCTGGTTTGTACTTTAGGGGTGAGATTTCCTAAGTACAGGCAGTCCCCGGGTTACGTACAAGATAGGAACTGTAGATTTGTTCTTAAGTTGAATTTGTATGTAAGTCGGAACTGGTACATATTGTAGGGGAAACTCTAGCCAAACATTTCTCCAGACCTCAGTTTTATTCTCCCACACCTCACTTCCCTCAGTCCTTTATTCTCAAGCTGAGGTGTCTGCTGAGAAAAGCCGCTCCGCGTCTCCCTGGTCTGCTGGGGGGGGAGGGGGCGCTAGCTTCGCGTCTCCCTGGTCTGCTGGTGCGGGGTTGCCTCACCCCGTTTGTAAGTAGGGATCCAATGTAAGTCGGATCCATGTAACCCGGGGACTGCCTGTAGTCTCTCCCTGATTTCTTTAGCATATTTGGGTGGTGGCAGCGGAGATTTTATTCCCAAAATCTAGGTTGTTAAGATTGTCGGGGGAAGTTTTATACCAAAGCCTGGTAGATAAGGTTATGGGGTACTTTTGCTGGCCCCCACTTCTGCCAGAGTGGGGAAGGAGCCATGACAGGGTGTTACAAGGAGGAGGGAGAAAAATTGTTCTCCGTGGCCTCTGATGACAGGATAAGAAGCAATGGGCTTAAACTGCGGCAAAGGAGGTTTAGGTTGGACATTAGGAAAAATGTCCTGCCTGTCAGGGTGGTTAAACACTGAAATAAATTGCCTGGGGGAGTTGTGGAATCTCCATCACCGGAGATATTTAAGAGCAGGTTAGACAGACACCTGTCAAGGGTGGTCTAAACCAGTCTGTGTCAATTTTTTTTTTTAAAATAAAGTACCCCTTTAATTTAAAAAAAAAAAAAGATAAGTACCCCCAGTACCTACAGTTTTCAGATACACAACGTATTTTTTCTACAATTGCAACACATTTGTTTAAACAACTTAATTGTAGCCGGGCGGGTGATGACATTTTTGGGTGTAAAAAGTAGAAAAATAAAGCAGCACTGTAAAAAACTTGAAACAAAAATTCAGTTCTCTCCAAATATCAGTTGTGTTGACGTACCCCCCAGACTTCTCTTGAGTACCTCTAAGGGTACCAGTTCCACTGGTTGAGAAACACTGCTCTAGACAGTGCTTGGTGCTGCCGTGAGGGCAGGGGACTGGACTCGATGACCTCTCAAGGTCCGTTCCAGCTGTAGGATTCTATAATTCTATGATTCTAGTTCAGAGGGAGCCATGTGGAGCCCTGTCACCGTCAGGGCTGCACTGTCCAGTGGTGATGGAGATTTGCAGGATCTGTGCCCACCCACAAAGCCATCCCTGCGCACTCAGCCACACACACACCAGGAAATGGCCTCACCCTGACGCTTTGGCAAAGTCTCCCCAGATATCAGCGCTGGCAGCTGCGGTGGCACCACCAGGTTGTGGCCAAGGCAAAGCGGCATCTAACGGCATCCAAGGAATTCAAAGGAAGGAAAAGAAAAGAAGATCAGATTTCACCCTCATCAGTTATTTCCCACCAACCCCAGTTCCTTATAGCCCCAGAAAGACACCACATCTTGATCGGTAAAACCAATACACCCCAAATTTAACCTATCCAACGGTCCACCCCGCTAGTTTCACTGCCTTCACTAGATTGTTTCATAAGCCAATTAGCTGACCTGGTGCAACTTCTGGCTTGAGAGAAAAGCTGCTCAAAGCATCTCTTAGAGGTCTCTATGGCAGACCAAGCAGCAGCACAGGTGGGCTAGGATGGCGGAGACTGATGGCTCTAGCCAAAGCCTAATGCAATGAGGCCAGGTTACGTTTAACACCCCCTGTGAAAAGTGACATTACAAATGGCATCATGGGGAGGTGGGTTGTAGGGTCACAATTTTTGCCTTGGTCTCCAGACACAATAGATGTTTCTAGCCTCACAGATCACACTCAAGGCACCTGCCAGGCTGAACTCTTACGATCACAGACTCAACGTGCTGCCTGAACGAGCCAGAATTCTGAGCAGCCTGATCATGCAGACACCTGGGTTCCACTCCCAGTTCTGCTACTAGCCTGCTGAGTGACTTTGGGCAAGTCCATGCCTCAGTTTCCTCTTCTGTAAACTGGGGAAGCACTGAGATCTACTGATAACAAGCACTAGCTAAGAGCTAGGGATCATTCATAAGTCTTTCCACACCTACAAAGTGATCACAGGAGCTTGGCACTGCCACAAAAAGAATCCCAGGGTCCAGGCTCAGAGTTAGTGCTCCACAGAAGGAACAGGAGAAGTGAAATTAACACGTTGTTTAACTTCACGGAGCTTTGTCTCTCAAGCCTGCTCTGTGCGCACAGCTGCACCAACCCAAGTGAACACATGGCTCCTACCTGAACAATTCCCTTGGAATTGTTAAATTAAGATTTAACTAGCGCCTTGGCTGGGTGGCAGAAGGTACCACATGGACACGAACAGCTGGTCTCTAGAAACCAAGAGATACGCCTGCCATATCAAGGTATGTGCAGGAGTTACCAAGGGGAGTGATGTTTATAATCCATGCAAATGAAAGCCAGGAGGAGGGACGATCAGAAGCTACATGGGTTTGCTTAAGGCCAGGTCTGAAACCCTGTTAGCCCTCATGCTGATGCTTCAGTCTCCCTTTTGTCACTGTGCTAAATGGAGGCTGCAAAGCTGGAGGGAAAAAGGTCTGAGTTTTATGCTAACTTCTGCCATGATGAGAGTGAGGCTGGCTAGTCTATCTGGCTCTCATTCACCAGTGCGACTGCTGAGCAATGACAATTCAAATCATCTGGTTGTATCAGATCTACTTGATCAAATTAGCCACGTCAGTTCCCTGCAAGCAACCTCTCTTTGGTCTGCTTCAATATTTCCCTGAGAGGGTGGGAAAGCACTGGGATGGGTTCCCTAGGGAGGTGGTGGAATCTCCATCCCTAGAAGTGTGTAAATCCCCGCTAAACAAAGCCCTGGCTGGGATGATTTAGTTGGGATTGGTCCTGCGTTGGGCAGGGGCTGGACTCGATGTCTCCAGGGGTCTCTTCCAGACCTAGATTCTACCTGCACAACCAGCCAACTTCTCAGGTTCTGTTGAACCCTGCTAAAGATTCCTCAAAAGGGTTTGTAGCCACTCAGTCCCCCACAACTCTCGAGTGACCAATACCAGAGGAGTAGCTGTGTTAGTATCTGCAAACACAAGGCAACCTGTGGCACCTTAAATACTAACAGATTTATTTAGGCATAAACTTCCATGGGTAAAACCCACTTTGTCAGATGCAAGATAGGTCTGATGAGGTGGGCTCCCGCCTACCAAAGCTTATGTCCAAATAAATCTGTTAGTCTTCAAGGTGCCACAGGACTCGTTTTTGTGGCGTGCTCAGTGGATGTATCACGGCAGCACTAGACTACTGCAGTTCACGTCGCCTGGGGATGGGGAGGGCAGATAACTGCATGAGGCAGCAGATAAGCAGCTCACCCTTTAATCGTGTGAACAGCGCCAACACAAGTGCTGTGGACTGAGTTCTAGAACTAGTTCTAGGCCTTTGTTCTCATCTTCAAAGCCCTGAAGGGCCCAGGTTTGAGTTATCTGAGGGGCAGTCTTTTCCCTCTGTTCCTCACCATGTGCTACACTCGTTTGGGATGCTGCGGCTGCCGGAGGCGAGTCTGCATCCTGTGAGGCTGGGGAAAGGTGTAGGATCCAGTGAGTTCTCTGGACAAACTTCCCAGCCTGGTCCCACATCTTGCCATGTTCACACCACAAGGCGCCTGCCTAAACAAACATCTTTCTAAACAGCATAGTAACGATATCAAACCAGTTGCTTGCAGGGAACTGGCTTACAAGGAACAGATCTGTCTTGCTAATGCTGATGTCTCTCACCCCGTGCGGAGAAGAGCCGTAGAAATGCCTAGAGAAGCTCTCAGATACCATGGTAATGAACACAGGTTAGGAAGCATTGGTAGGGATAGCCAGACCTAAAACGAAATTAAGCTTGCCCAAGAACAGAGACCTGTGTTAGTAGCACTTGTTGGCTGGGAGTTCACAGGGAATGATGGAAGCTGCTCCCCAGGAGGGGGGATTAGAGCAGATCTCCCTCCAGGAGGAGGTGGGAGCAGGCTGAGGCCCCCAGGCCCTGCAGGGCGCAGTTTGCTGCTCACTGCGGCTCCTTCCTTTTTCTTCATGTTCTAAAAGGAAATTAAAAACACATTTGTAACGTCAGCCTAAATGCAGCTGCTGTGAGCATAAGACCTGGCTTTGGCACAACAGTCTCCAGTTGCTATTGCTCAAGGGAAGTCACTTGGGTCAGCTGATTCTTTTATATTGCTGAACACAACAGGCTGGGGCAGGAGAGAAGCAGCTTCCTTTTCAAGCGGCATGGCCATCTTGGCCACCGCCATGGACTGAACCAGGAACCTCCAGAGCTGAATGCATGAGCCACTATAGCTTGAGCCAGAGCCCAGCTCCGTAGCTGGGAGCGGTCACAGATTCCCATGCTTTGTGCAGAGGGGGACACAAGGGACACACCCTGACTGATGCATTATGGCAGCATTCCTCCTGCAACTGGATTTCCTAGAAGAAACCACTGCTTCCTCGCTGCAGCTCAGCCACAGACCCCAGAGAGTGGGGAAGGCGAGAGGGCTGAAGGCGTTAGCTGCCTCCACTAGCTAAAGCAAATCACAGTTTGCCCATTACAGAAACTGAATTGAGCAGAAGGAAGCAGGGAGATGGTTTGGTCTACACTGCTCCTTTTTTAAACCCATCTTACAAGTTGGCGTGACGGGGTACAGGGTTTCTGGAGTTTTACCAGAATGTCACCCCACTGTTACAATGTCATCAAAATTACTATGCCCCGTAGTAATCTCTCATACCCATGAAGGTGCTATGCGCCAATAACTATCTGATTTTGCAGAGCTACAGGGCTGGTACCCGGTATGTCAGCCATACGCACCTGTAACGGTGAGCTTCCCTGTGACAATGAAACTATATGTGGCAAGCTGAACGCTGGGATTGCCTCTAAGAAGAGTTCAGGGGAAGTTTTACGTGATGAAAGCAGCAAATTAACCAAGAAAAGCACCTCACCGCAATGTTCAGTTTGATGGTCTGTCCCTCCTTGAAACCCAGGTCTAGTTTGGGTCCCTGGTCTGGATTCTGGGCTTGTTTTGCAAGCTCGCACTGCTGTTTAACCCATCTATATGGGGAAAATGAAAGGTGTAAAACAAGGGCAGAGCCTGCTACAAGGAATGCAGTCCATTAAAAACCCATATTGGAAACAAGGTGCTTTTTTAACATTACCAGCACAGTCTGAATGAATTTTTAAAATCCAGTTTGGGTTTTTTCCCCCATTTCTCTGGGCCCAGATAATTAAAATCAGCAGAGCCAGTTTTACTTTTGGGCCATCAATTAGAGCTGGACAAAATGTCGACTATTTGCCAAATAATGCATCTTGGGACACAAAAGCTATTTGTCAAATTCAGCAGTGTTTCTGCCAACAAAAATATGAAAACAAACATTCTGGAAACAGCAAAACAATTTGTCTGGAAAAACAATCAAAACAGATGCTTTTAAAATTGTTGCTGCGAATAGACAACGATGATATAAAATTCTGTGTCATTGGCTAATTGGTTAAACATGAAATTTAATGGGCTGAAGCCCCACTCGGCTGGAGCGGTCCACCACCGCAGACAGGGGCTGCTCCTGCTGTGCCTAGGCCCATCGTAGACAAGGGCTGCTCCGGATGCCCAGCACAGCCCCTGTCCATGGCAGGCCCCTTGCCCATGGTAGGCAGGGGGGGCTGCTCCAGTCTCCACCGGTTAACCAGACTGGGAAGCATCACTCGTTAAGCATGATGCTTACCAGTTAACCTTTCACATCCCTAACACATTTTTTGTTTCTGTGAGAAACAAAAAATAATTTTTAGCTTGAAACCAATTTAATTCCAATCCCTTGGTTTTTTCCAAAAAGCCAGGTCTGATCAACCAAGGTTATTTCTTTCCAGGCACTGAATCTCGCTGCTGCACATAAGCTCCGAAAGGGGAACACCGGTTGTAAGTTGCAACGAAAAAATCCAAAAGAAAAGACCAAGAAAAGAATATTTCCTGAATCTAAACAATGCTTCTATCTGTCTTAATGTGAGTAATATATATTTGATAACTCCACAAACTATTCAAAGGTAAATCTGGAGAGTACAGTTGTAGGAGGAGTTGTTATTTCTTGTTTTTTAACTGTACTGTTCTACTTTTTTATGTGTATGTTATACTATCTTAAAAGAATCAAAGAATGAATTGATTTAAATGAGAAATTATAAAAGTAAATAGAAAATAAAAATTGTTGTTTAACCCTAAAAAGAAGTATTCCTCTGTCTGTGGTTTCAAATCCTTTAAAGAACCAAAAGGTTTGGTCACTGAACCAAAACAAAACTCCATTATTCAATCAGCTCTGCTATTAACGCTACACTGGTCAAAAGCACACTCGGCAGGGGAAACATATTTGCTCAAAGCAACTTACTTATGCTGTGTGTGTTTTCAGCTTAATCACCATGTTTTATAAGAACTTATTTTTATAAATCCTCAGTTGGAGCTGTGCTGCTGGTAAGAATGTGGTGTCAGCTGTGCGCTCACAGCTGGAAATCAGACCAGCTCATGTGTAGGTCAGTATTGTTCAAGACAAGTGTAACTGGTAAGAAAGGTGTTTCCCTGTATGTAATGCCTGTAGCTGCAGCACACATTCATTTCCCTTGTAATGTCTATATCCCATGCTATAAGGCAGTGGTCCCCAACCATTTGAGGTTGCCGGGTGCCAGGGGGCGGGGACACTTGCGCGCCCGGGGCCGACACTCTCCCCCTGCAAGCGCCGCGCGCCCGGGGCCCGGGCGGCCAATCCGCGGCCGGCGCTCACCGTGCGCCATGTGCCCAGGGCCGGCTACGGCACCATGCATGCACTACATGCCTGGGGCCAGGCCAGCTCCGAGCACTTGGCGGGCGCACACAAATGCCCCCGCGGGCGCCATGGTGCCTGCGGGCACCATGTTGGGGACCGCAGCTATAAGGTGATGAAAAGTTTGCTTTTAACTGTAAAAAATGCCAGCTCTGAACTTGTGAACCCAGTCCATAGGAATGGCCCCTGCCCATCAACAAGGACTATCAAATCTACATGAGCCATTGTGGACCATCACAATATAAAGACTTTTTAAATGGCCTCTCTCATACCCATGAAGGTGCTATGTACAAGGAAACTCAGCCCATTAAGTTGGAAGAGGATAAAACATGGATACAAGAAAATATTCTGACTCTCACAGCGTCAGAGCTAGGAAACAGAAGCAAGAGTTTCCTAAGCTATGTCTACACTACACTGATGTATCGGAAAAAGGCAGAAGAGCTGACGAGCGGAAGAGCAGACGCGTTCCCTGCACGCGGCAAAGTTTTTCTGGGATACTTCCAATATCCCAGAAAACCCCCATAGTGTAGACAAAGCCCTAGAGTCAAACTGGATAAGCCCTAAAAGACATTCAATGCTGATCCAATATTACAACTCTGTCACCTTTCAGAGCCACAGACTAACTCCTCTGTGTCAAACATGCTGTAAATAACGCATTTCTTTTTCCTAGTTAATAACTCCTTAGTTTACCATAAGACTGGCTACAAATGTTGATTTTGGTGTGAGACTGGAGATACAAATTGACCTGGGGTACGCAACTGGTCTCTTGGGACTGGAAGCAACTTGAATCTTTCGTGATCTTTGGCAACCAGCTGTCACTAAATCCAGCTGGAGTGCCCAAGGGGACGGCGCGGGACTCCCTGGTAAGACTACTATTGTGTTTCAGCAGTTCACACGCGTTACTGGCTTGCTGAAATCTAATTACAGAACATGCCACCACTGTGAAGTCTCTGCCTTGCTTTCTGACAGTCTGCCCTGAGACTGGCACACTCAGGCAGGCCGTTTTGAGTTGTTTCTAAACAAATCTGACATGGATTCCTGAAGGCAGGTCAGTGGATACAGTAATTCCTCATTTAACACGGTAGATACGTTTCAGAAAATGACCGTGTTAAGTGAAAACGTGTTATGCGGAGTCAATTTTCCCATTGAAAATAATGGAAAAGGCGGGGGTTGCGTTTCAAGCGGTGGTGTCTGTTGGGACTGGGACAAGGTTGGGGGAGAAAGGGGACTGGGTTACAGCAGGGAGGGGCGGTGTTTGGCTCTGCGGAAGGGAAGGGGAGGGGGACTGGGTTGGGAGTATGCCCCTGTGATGGGTCTACTAGGACCCGCACTGTGTCCGGCGAGGAGGGGGTCGCTGGGGAACGGCGCGGCGAGCGGCGAACCCTCTGCCACTTTGAAGGGAGGCGGGGGAAGCCCCGCGCAACTGCCAGCAATGGGACGGCTGGGGAAATCATGTTATTCTGCGGATGGTCGTGTAATTCAAAAAACGTTCCCTAAAAAAAAATCGTGCTATCACAAAAACATGTTAAGCGGGCACGTGTTAAATGAGGAATTACTGTACTTACATATCTTGATCAAGCCATGATTATGAACATCTTTCTGGAGAAATCATGTTGTTCCGGGGACGGTCATGTAATTCAAAAAACGCTCCCTAAAAAAAAAAATCGTGCTATCACGAAAATGTGATAAATGAGGAATTACTGTACTCCAGTGGATGCTCGTGGTAACAGGCAGCGAAGTGTGCTAAAAACCAGCATGCTGTTGAAGGGAATTTGTTACCAAGTTCACTTTAAAAGCATGCCCGAGTGCAGTAGTGGCTCTTTCAATGTGCTTATGTAGCCTGAGGACTAGCCAGCTGCAGTGAAGCAGCACAGAGAAAGCTGCTCCTGCTATTCAAAGTGACAGCAGCCCAACTGAATGAGCCAGCATCTCCGAAGCCTGCAAGGGGCAGATGTTCAGTCACTTTTGCACTGCTTTGCTCAATGACAGGCCCGCAGGGCAGGAAGGAATAACCTTCCTAGGCTAGAGAACAGACTCATTTTCTGCGAGCTGAGAGAGCTGCAGCCAAGCATCTCAGAGGCAGCTCTCGCCCATTCTTCTGGCCATGGGACAAAAATGGCAACCAGCAACATGGAGGAAGCAAAGGAGAAACAGCAACCCTGGAGGAACTCAGGGTATGTCTACACTTGCACCCTCTTTCGAGAGAGGGATGCAAATGAAGACATTCGAAATTGCAAATGAAGCCGGGATTTAAATATCCCGTGCTTCATTTGCATATTCACGTTATGGCGCTATTTCAAAATAACAGTCACTGTTAAGGATGCAGTTATTTTGAGAGAAACCCCTTCTCTCAAAATAACTGCATCCTTAACAGTGACTGTTATTTTGAAATAGCGCCATAACGTGAATATGCAAATGAAGCACGGGATATTTAAATCCCGGCTTCATTTGCAATTTCGAATGTCTTCATTTGCATCCCTCTCTCGAAAGAGGGTGCAAGTGTAGACATACCCTCATTTGGACCTGCATGCATTCCTTTGCTGGGCCCGCATGTATATCCCTACTCCCTCCACTGGGGGCTTGGGAAATTTTTGCAAGACAAAAATATTCCACAATTGTTTTTTTACCAGTAGAAAGAAGAGAACTGAACTCGCTCAAAAAGACACATCTGCCCCATAACACTCCCCTTACCATGCCTCCCCTCCCCACTGCATCGAAAGCAAACAGCTTGCAACTGCGGCAGTTTCAGCGAACACAGGCTTGTGCAAATGCCACAGAAAGGACCCTGCCCACAGAGCAAAGGGAGAGAAGAAAACTCACTTAAAGTGGTCTTGAATGGCTACGTTGAAGTCAAAAGCATCCCCTCGGTCTACAAATCCAACCCCAATAAAGGCACGACGTCCTGGGAAACAAAGGAGAGCAAATGCTCGGTTAAGTAACGAAGTAGTAGCCCTCCACAGCTCAGCCAGCAAGTGAAAAGGAGACGCTCGCTCTCCCTGCCTGTTGGTTTCACACATTTCATAGCTCTGCCACTCTCTCAGGACTCAAGAGAGCCTATTTAATAGGTGAGTTCTATTGCTTGTCCTAGTCCTCACATTTGCTCAGCCTAATAGCCTCTCCTCCACAGGGTACGTGGATCTGTCCATCCCACAACACTGACCAATGTTTTCAATTTACTCCAAACACAGATGCAAAAGCTGGCTTTCAGGATGGACTTTTCCAGTGTCAGGCATGTCCCAAGCTTGTGTGGGCTCAGGCTAGAGTCCCCCCCTGCCCAAAGGCTAAGGAGGCAGGGGAAGGGAAGGGGAGGGGAGGCAGGGTCCAACATGCACACCCTCCCTGGCCTTTGCCATTGGGTTTGCATCGCACCTAGCGCAATGGAGACCTTGGTCTGTAAATAGTGTTTCCAAGTGCTCTGGTAATTAAAAAAAAAAAATCATAGTCCCTAGTAAATGCTTCTTTGGGCCCCTTCTGGCATCCACAGCCACCTGCAGTTTGGGGCCTCACTGAAAAGCTGCATTTGCTTAACTACACCCTCCCTGGCCTTTGCCATTGGGTTTGCATCGCACCTAGCGCAATGGAGACCTTGGTCTGTAAATAGTGTTTCCAAGTGCTCTGGTAATTAAAAAAAAAAAATCATAGTCCCTAGTAAATGCTTCTTTGGGCCCCTTCTGGCATCCACAGCCACCTGCAGTTTGGGGCCTCACTGAAAAGCTGCATTTGCTTAACTCCAGGCATCATTTATTTCCTTTATGGTTAAAACGAAGCCTCTCTCCTCAGCCCTGAAAACACTCTTCAGCAGCTCAAATTTACCTTCCAGGCCCTTCCACGGTTTGACACTCCCCGCCCCCCAGAATCCCTCTAACTCCCACACCCTAAGAGAAAACAGGCTCTCCACCCTGCACCACTGCCACTGTTTATTCAAGTTATAAAAAGCTATGGGATTGGAATCTTCCAACATTGAGATGGTTCCGGGAAATTCATTTTAAAAAAATGAAGTGATGTGATGCTACTGAAAGGTGTTAAGCTGACAGTCCTGGAGACTAGGGATGTAAGCGACTAGTCGAGTAGTCACCTATCTGATAAGCATATGCTTATTGGGTAGTTGAATCACTACTTAACTAGTCCCTTCCCCTGCAGCAAAGGCGAGAAGCAGGTGCTGGAGAGCAGGCCGGGGGGGGGGGGGGGGGGGGGAGGGGGG